TCAGGACCTGGGCCAGGGCGAGAACCGCGGCCCGGACGCGGGAGGGGACCGCTGCACTTGACACAGTTCACGTTTGAATTACATGGACGTAGTGGCCCTTCCAAAAATTAGATGCACGTTTTTACTCTTGTTCGCGATGGCTGTTGGGCACATGTGCTCCAGGGAGGAGAGACAGAGAAGAAAACGAGAGATCCCCCCGGGGGCTGGCCAGGCCCCATCCCTTCTCCATGCCCTCCTGGGGGTCTTGGGCATGCACACGTGCCCCGCATTTTTTTTTTTTAAATCAGAGAGCCGCAGCCCCCGGGGAGGCCACTGCAGAACCCCGGCCCTCCCCCAGGATTTGGGACATGCACACAGGAGCGCCTGGCGTGATTGTCAAGCCACCAGGTCCAGTTGGCCGTGGGAGGCCAACACCTTACCACCGTGCCACCCAGCCCCACGTTTCTTAAGACGCCAGATCCAGGGTCTCTCTGTCTCTTTTTGGCAAGTACATGCACTCTATAGCAAAAACCTCTCAAAAAAAAAAAAAAAGAAAGAAAGAAAGTGAGAAACCACACCCCAGGGGGGATGGCCACGCACAATCCCTTCTCCTCCATTCTCCTCTGGGGATCTTGGGCAGGCACACACACGCACCCGGCGTGAGTTTTAAGCCACCGAGTCCGGGACTCAAACCGCGGTCGACTACGTGGGAGTCCAGCGACGTAGCCATTACACTAACTACTAGTCCCCTGACACCAGAATTTTGATTCAGTAATCAGAGAGAAGCTGCCTGGTCCAGCTATCTATGCAAGCATATCTAACAGGTATTTTTAATACAGGATAGTAAGAATGGAAATCATGTTTCTTTTTAAATGTTCACATGTCCAATGACCTGAAAGTAATATCTCCAAAGTAAAAGTAATGGTTAGGTAAATCCTTTAATTTTTAAAACTTGAATTAAAAGTTACATTTTTATAGTGGATTTTTATACTAGTGGATTGGCAGTTTTCTCTTCGAATAAACCGCTAACAAGGATGTGTGGAGAGGAACGCACTGAGCTGGTTGGAATCATTCCTCCTGGCTACTGGCGCCTCCTCGCAGCCTTGTTTCGCGCTCTGCCACCAGGACTCCACTCCACGGCACCCACACGCTCTGCCTCCGTGATCAGTTCTTCCTCTCAGTGTGAACGCCTGCCTGGAGACACCGTGCGCTCCCTTACATTTCAGTTCACAGACCTCTTTCAAACCAACTGTCCCCTCCCATCTCAGGAGAGCTCTGGGTCCCTGCTGGCGACACTCTGCGCATCCCCATGGTGGGCAGCATTTGTCGAGCTGCACTCAGTGACTGGCACACACACTCTCTAACAGACTGCGGACTCGAGGACGGAGGGACAGACCAGAGGACAGGACGGAGACCACCGCCCTAGTGTGGGGAAGGGGAAGGGGGCGCACAGCAGGTGGTTGAGAACAGCTCAGCCTCAGAACGCACCCTGTGGGGCTGCAGTCACAGCACCCACCCCTGAGAGTGGAAGTGACAGGAGTGTGACCCAGCGGCCACCTCGCAGACAGTACGCACTGAGTGGGTGCTGCTGCTGTCCTGGTCGCTGTTATTTTTTGGAAGCTCTCTAAGTATTAGTTGACGGAGTCAGTGAATGACTGAGCAAACATGTTTTAGGTGGCTGGTCAGGCATCCAAACCCAAGGCCAGATTGCAGGAAGTTCCTCCCTTTTTGTGCTCTCCCCCTTTCTCCTTTTGTCCTCTGTCCCCACTTCTCCCCCTCAGTAAATCTACTGTAACTTTACATAATATGCACATTTAAAAGGTTTCTTTATTACAAAATCTGTGCTTTTTAATGAATAGAATATGAATCCTTATTGCAATGTGAAATGGCGTTTGCACTTGACATAGATTAAAGTCTCCGAATGCTTCAACCCAGCCCGAACGGTGACTGAGAGGGTGAGGAGGCATTTTCACTTGGTGTAGTCGGGGGTAAGCATGTTCACACGTCTCCTAAGCTAGATTCTCCCCGCAGTCTTCATGTGCTCCATTAACAGGCCCAAAGCTACCTGGAACATGTTGTGAATAAGCTCAACTCCCAGGGAGAATAACAGGAGATCATGTCTTCATCAAAGAATAAGTATGCCCTGAGTAAATAGCAGATCTCTACAGCCACGTCAATGCTGCCGTGAAAACAAGCGAGACAAGTGTGTTTAACTGTTACAGCTACGCACGCCCCCCATTCCATTGTGCTGTCGGCAGAGACTGAATCGTTCACCTTTGTATCTGCCACCTCAGCACCGCACCTGACACAAAATACCCAGTGAATAAATATGTGAGAAGCTGGCCCAGTGCTTAAGGGAGCTAGATCCCACATGGCTGACGGACTGCATGGTTCGAATCCTGGCCCCACTGGGCACAAGTTCATGGATGCCCCAAATTCTGACAGCATGGAGAAACGGAGGAGAAGGGATTGCGGCGTGACCACCTCCACGAGGGTGCTTTCTCCCTCTCCCTGTCTCTGTCTTTCTGTTTCCCTCTGGCAAGTGGAGGTGCCCCTGGCCAATTATATAAAAATAAATAGTTGTAGATAAAATCAAAGCTCTGTATAACTCAAAGAAGTGTATGTAATCATTGGTAGCTCCATAAATTGTGGCAGAAATCTCTACGAGTTGCTGGATCTTCGCTCTGACTTTTCACTGATGAATATATGATGATGCAGCGTGTCAACTAGCCATGGAATCTGAGCTGTCCATATCAGGGTGCCAGACTGGTGAGCTACAAACTGCCTAGAAAAGGCGCTACGTACACCATGGGAGAAGTTTACTGTGAATTTACAGTGCTGGCAAGATAGTTTTCTTTCTTCCTTTCTTTCTCCCTTCTTTCCTTTCTCCCTTCCTTTCTTCCTTCCTTCCTTCCTTTCTTACTTTCTTTCTTTCTCCTTTTTCAGTTTTGCCAGAGGATGTGTGTGTTAGCCAAAGAGAGAACGAGAGAGACAAAGAAAGCAAGAAAGTACTCCCTATTGGGAATATTCAAGCCAAGCCAAAATCCCTTTTCCCCCATTTATCCCTCTTGTAGGGATTTTGAGCATGTCACACACATGCCTGATGTGTTTCTTCTCTTTTCTTTTTCTTTTTTTTTTCTTTTTTTTTTTTTTTTGAGAGGTTTTTGCTATAGGGCACATGCGCTTGC